TTTATTAAATTCAAGAATAGTTATTGAAGTTCAGTGTACATTTGCATTTAAAGCAGCATGTATTAATGACATGAAGTAAATGTCAGTACATGTATGGCATGGGAAATTGGAAGGGAGAGGGATAGTTATAGAAGATATCTCATGTGACACATTTCTTACAACAGAGTGAAGGTTTTTATTTGTTCCAAGCTGACTGCTAAATTTTTTCTACTTCTGATTGCTTTTCTATTCTGCAGTTTTCAACAACTGCTTTTTCTCCACTTAAGTGATTCTTGTGGTATTCCAAAAGCAATCAGAAGTGTGTACTTATTTGGTAGAGTTCAGCACCTCACTTCTGTAGTTCTTGCATGCGTATGTATACAATAGAGTGTGTGGCCAGACTGTTTTTGCCAAGGCAGAGGAGCAGTTTGGAGAACTACTCCTTGGAGTTGTATATGTAAATGCGCATTTAAGATTGATTCACCATACAGAGGGAGCTTATAAAACTTTCATTGTGTCACAGTTGAGTATTTACTCTCGAGCACCAAAATATTTTACTGCATATTGTTACATTGATTTTTCTTTTTATATTCCAAACCCTGTTATTGGAAAATTTTGAAATCACTATGTAGCTTAATTGAAGCTCCTAAGTGACAAATGCAGCTACGAGTCTCTTGTTTTCATACATGTACGTTTCAAATTTTTTTATCTGAATTTCTAACATGTCACCACCATGTTGATATAAAAAAAATCAGCCCTCTGTGTTTCATCAGTTAGCTCTTTTTTTTTCTTTTTTTTTTTTTTTAATCTATGCATTGATTTTTGTTTGTTCCAATTTATTTTTTTTCTTGAATTTTGTTGGGAAATCTCTGCATGACATTTCAAGGAAATTCTGGCCACCCTTCCCATTACAAACAAATGGAACCAACAACATTTTGATATAAAAAAAATCAGACCTCTGTGTTTCATCAGTTAGCTCTTTTTTTTTCTTTTTTTTTTTTTTTAATCTATGCATTGATTTTTGTTTGTTCCAATTAATTTTTGTTCTTGAATTTTGTTGGGAAATCTCTGCATGACATTTCAAGGAAATTCTGGCCACCCTTCCCATTACAAACAAATGGAACCTGCGAGTCATTCAGTGTACACTCCTTTACATCATTTTCCTGCCATTTAAAAAAATTTCTGCAGCATTTATTAATACTGCAGAAACTTGTCTCTACCTTGTTTAAATGTTTCATTATTTTTAACGGAACTTGAGTCAGTGAGTAATATAAATTTTATTTTATTTAGTTAGAAAAAAAATTTACAATTAGAGCAATTTAAAAAAAAAAAAATTAGTATACATTTAGGCTTTTGTTTAATTAATACCGGTATTTAAAAATGGAAATTCATGACATATTTCTGTTAATACATATCATTTCATCTTAATCTTTACTTAAACTGAAAGAGGCATTCGTTTCTCTGTTTATGATAAATCTAATATGTTTGGGTTTTTTTTCTTTTTAAATCCCTATTTTAGCAGTTGAGTGCATTTTAATGGGGTGATATTAATATATCCTAAATTATTCTAGTAAACTGAGAGCCATAAGAAAACAGTCACTAACTTTTGATATTTTTATTGCACATTTAATATAAAAACCTTAATTATTTAATGTGTATGTAATCTTAAAACCCCATTAATGAAGTTAAAAGTATGGTTGTTGAACCTTTACCATTACAGATTTTAAAGCCATACATTTTCAGGGATTTGGAAATTTCTATTATCTTGTGTATGGTAATTTTAAAGCAAATGTGCAAGTACTTCGTGTAGTTCAAATATACAAGTTGCTAGTTATTAAAATAGATTTGCAATCATAAATTGCCATGTTTGACTTTTGAAGAAAAAGGCCATTTTTTGAAGTTCAGAATTTCACATCTGTAGGGGTTTTTTTAAAATAAAAATTAGAACTATCAATGTATAACATTGTTTACCTGAAATGCTGAGCATTTCCTGAAATGCTGAGCATTTCGGAACTTGTTACACTGGGCAAAGAAACAGATCTTTTATCACCCAGTGTGATTTCTAAATTTGTATCACACTAATGTACGGTACAATTATTTGAAAGTGTTTGTTTGTAACAACCTTAGTTTTTAACAACCTTATTCTTTCTAATTTATGTCTTTGCTTTATTTGACAAATTTATTAAAATTCTAGCTGATGGAAAAATAAGTTATTTTTGTTTAAATGAACATTCCATTCATTTCTTGGATGTTATGTTTCAAACTATGGCATTCTAATAGATTAATCACTCGGTTTCTCTTTAAACTGAGCCAAAAGGTCAAATAATTTTTCTTAAATAAGTTTACGTCCTGGACATGAACATTAGGTTGATGTTGTGGCTTTATTATATATTTTATTTTTGTTAGAGACAACCTGTCCCCCTCTTCCACAATTTAAAAATTAGTCATTATTTTCTTCTATTGAAGAAATTGCAGTATGGCTGCATTTTAGCATGTGCATAGTTCTTGTATTTTTTTTTTCTTCAAAATTCTGTGTGTAGCGGAATAAGTTATTGATAGCACAATCATGATTTCTAAAGAAGTGGCACTGAAAAGGTCATATTGATATAATTTGTATGTTAATTTAAGATACTTCTATAAAACTTTTCAAAAAGAGCTGAAAACATATTAGCCTTTTCTTGATGAAGTGTCTTTCCATTGCTAACATTTATAAGTAGCCTGGCATGTTTTGAATACCGTAACTTAGTAAATGCAAATATGTTGCTGAAAAAAGTTGGAGATGTTCAGAATTTATGTGTTTGTTCTATTGATGTTAGGTTTTTACTAAGTGGAACAAATCAATAATGATCAGGAAGCATAGTCTTCTAAGAAATAAAGTCTGAATGATACATATGAGTTTGTTGTAATTTTTAAAAAAAATTTAAACTACAAATTAACTCTCCACTCTAGACAGCGATGAGGCCATGACAGACAGTTCTGGCTCATAAAACCAGAACTCGTTAAAGGAGCTCCTCATTCCTGCTTAACAGCTAACAGTTGAGGCGACTACACTTTATACATTGGTGTCTATTGCCTCCTGTCTGCCAACCCCCAGTTCATAATACCATTGCAGAGTAGCCCTTGCTTGCAACCAGTGAAATATCCCTTTCAAAACCATGCACAGTTACATTGCGAACCCCCCTGCAACATAGGAGCCAGAATAATCTATACATTGATCCATTATCATGGGCCCTCAAAATATAAAAGATCCTGGAGTAAATTCCACTGTCAAGGCAAGCACCTAACGATTGAAATGAAGAAAGTAAATAATTGCTGTGTACTCCATACTTCAGTGGAGAGGTTCGTAAACAGGGGTGTCATTAGGAGCCACATCTTCCTCATATGGGCACAGTGAAAGTGAAAAAGTTTTAAAAAGCAAGAATGTGACACGGCGCCATGTGAAAATGGATGCAGCAAGGGCGACGTGACTCGAAAAGTTTTGGGAAATTCTACTTTAAGGTAAAGGCTGTCATTGTACATGTTAAGTATAATTATAGAACCGGTATACCTAACACTAACATACTTTAAATCATCTAATAATAAATGAGTCCGTTAGGGCCTATTCATTTTTAAAGACTCTTTACTCTCATGTTAATTTTTGTCTGTTGACACACGTGTGAATTTGCTTCAATCTATTACTATCATTACTCAGTTGATGGTAGTTCATTGCGTTTGCTAGTTTCAGCGAAGGGTGGGTAGAGGAACGAGAGAGAGCTCCGGTCATGGGCGCCCGCCGCAGGGGGGATGTAAGTAAAGAGAAAGTAACTAAGCTGATGTCCTGTCCGTTCGTTCACCATCCATACAATAAGCTATAGTAAATTAAAACTACATTAAAACATTACTAAAAAAATTTTGCCCCCCCTTAGAAAGTTAATCGATTTTGATTTTTTTTTATGGGCGCCCGCCGCAGGGGGGATGTAAGTAAAGAGAAAGTAACTAAGCTGATGTCCTGTCCGTTCGTTCACCATCCATAAAATAAGCTATAGTAAATTAAAACTACATTAAAACATTACTAAAAAAATTTTGCCCCCCCTTAGAAAGTTAATCGATTTTGATTTTTTTTTGCCCCCCCCCCCCCAGAAAGTTTTCTGCGGGCGCCCATGGCTCCGGTATATTTTTTATAATACTTGGTCGACGCAAGGAAAGTCTGTTCAGAAAATTCAAAAATTAATAAAAAAAATAAAACGTTTAAGTTCTACATTCAATTCAAATGCTTTGTCTACAGCTTGCACCTGTTACTATTAGTCCTATACAATTCTGCAGTCTTTCTTTGCGCAATGTAGTTTATATTATATACCGGTAGCCCTGAGCCTATTTCACAAGGAGCAATTTAAGGCTCGTGCCCTATTGTTGCCTGAACTGAAAGTGATTATTTACAAGACTTATCAAATTCTTAAAGTGACTTATTAAGTTTTTCATTATGCTGAAGGGTTGAAAAAGTTTATTTATACTGACATAAATTCACTCGCGGGTCACAAAAAGTGGGGGAAGGGTGGGGGGGGGGGGGCGGCACGATGTACCGTTTTCATTAATGGTCATGTGATTTAGCCAGTTTTTTAATTTATTTATTTTTTGAAAATAACAGTGGGGGGTAAAATCTTTTTAAAACACCCAACAGTTTAAAAAATTTTATTATTTAAAGTGACTTATTAAGTTTTTCATTATGCTGAAGGGTTGAAAAAGTTTATTTATACTGACATAAATTCACTCGCGGGTCACAAAAAGTGGGGGAAGGGTGGGGGTGGGGGGCGGCACGATGTACCGTTTTCATTAATCGTCATGTGACTTAGCCAGATTTTTAAATTAATTATTATTTGAAAATTACAGTCGGGTGTTAAATCTTTTTAAAACACCCAAACGATTGAAAATATTTATTATTTTGAATAAATAATTATAAAAATTTTAACCTCCTTTTTATGAAGTTCTGCAAACCTCAAAATTAGTTTATGTACTTCCCCTTTTGTTGTTTATGCCTTTTTGGCACGTTGGCAAATGTTTTTATGAGACGGAAGGTAGTTTACCGTAGTTAATGTGTTGGTTGAGAGATTATTTTAAGGGGAAATGCACCAATAAAAGTAAGTTTATTTGCCGTTTAAGACTGAACCTCCTTTTGTATTTTTGTTTGGTAACTAAAGAAGAATTCTTTTATCCTTTCGACAATGCCATAGCCATAGGCCTAATCGTAATTATTTCGTAGGCATATTATAACTGATACTTGTAATTGTAATACTTAGCAGCTTGGCCTGTAGTATAACTTAACCACTAGTCCTAAAGTATCATTATAAAAATAAGGTATACCAAAAATAAAAGTAGTTTACCAAAAGTAGTTCTAGTAATTAAAAAAAAAAAAATTATTTGTGCGCTTAATTATCAAATTAATATATTTAAATTTTATATATAATCAGGACTCCATACTTAATTATTTCAAGACCTGGTACTGATTTTTCCTGACAACCAACGAACAAAATTGATAATAATAAAAGCAGAAAGTCTGAGAAAGTGAAAGGCCCTACACTAACATCGCAGATCCCAAATTAAACTTTGAGCAACTGTGTAGCCTTAATTTTACACTTATTGATTCACGAGACTAGTTGATCTAAAATATAGTATATATATATATATATTATATATATAATAATAATAATATATAGGGATAATTCGCATCCCCATCTCAATTACCAAAAATATTCAAATACCCATTTTTTGGTTAAACTGAGAATAAACATGACTTACCGGTGTAAATTGTGTGAATTTTTGATGGATGAATAGATCCTAACACATGTGTTTTGGGAAATAAGGCCCATGGAGGCCCTTCAGACACCCCTGGCATAGAGTTCTACTCCTTTTCCAGCCCCCAGGGTACTTTTCGATTGCTACAGACAGAGCAGTCCTTTTCACCATTGTGTACCCAATTAGGGTTTATTTTATGTATATATACACATATAGACTGAAACGAAGTCTTTGTTAAAGGAGAAAATAATTACAAGTATTTATTGAATAAGGGCATTTACAATTTCCTATGTAGTGCACTTTTGGTGATTACTATATAAAGTATATATACCAAATGGGTCATACCATTGTAAATGTATATTAATGAAAAACAAGTGTCCCTAACATAATGACATTGTCATCATTATTAATGCTATATTGCTCAAGGTTTTATGTTCAATCTTTGTGGACTTAGCCTTTATAGTTTCACTGATGATCTCAGTGGATCACAAAGTGTGGGAGTTCCTTCTGTTCCAGAAGCGTGTCTTCGGAGCTGTTCCAAGCGTAGCGAAGTTGGAGTTCCCGGTTGTAGATTCCGTGGGATCTCTGCGATGGGGAAGATGACTCTCCAGTGATAAATCGTGGGTGTTAAATCCCTGGATCTCGAGGTCCTTCTAGTAGCCATAGGTAGTTTGGTGTAGAACGTAAATCAATCCCCTCGTTCCAGCTTCAAGGTAAGTCGGTCCAGTAGTAGTAACCAGGCTAAAGGCAAAATGATACAAAATGGATAAGTGTCCCATTCCAACAGTGGGGTATTATTTTACAAGGGCGGATTTACGGTGGAAGAATTTTACAATGTCCAGCCTCAAATCATCACAGCAAGGCACATTGCACTATTTTCTGCCGGCTATTGTGAAGTCTCAACATCTAAAAATCTTAAACAAATCTGTAATACTTTTGACTATTGCTAGCATAATTAACTGAAGAATTATGTATAATTATATCTAAATTGCTATCAAATTATTCAAATTCATCATTGAATTCAATTTTTTACAAATTTTTTTTTTTACCAGTGTAAAAATACTCAAAATTTCAGAGAATTTTATATTGTGCACTATTGAACTCAGCATAGCATGGTGACATTAGCTTATTCTAATATTATAGAAAATATAACCTGTTATGGAGATAATAATAACAGGCACTTTGTGATAATTTCCACTTGCTATAGCGAAAACTCATCACAATTCAGTATTTTAAAAAAAAGTATTTATGTAATGATGTTTACATTTCTTACATCATTAAAAATTTTGAGACGTATTTATTTGCTATATATTATACTCTTACCCTACCAATTTTTTAGCCCCTAAGCTACAATTATATTTTCTATAAACATGGCTTTAAATTACCAAATCTAAATTATCACTAATTAAATCATTATTGTTACTAAAGGAGTTAATTGACGGCTGATTTCTACATGAGAATAATACTTCAGATGTCATTAGTTTTTAAAAATGTTAAAAAGCTGGGCCTACACTACCACTTTTTGTGCCTCTAAACTAAATAAAATATCTCTAAAAGTTGTGAAAACTTAATCTTAAAACTACAAAAAAACCTCTAAATGCCATTTTAAATATATTTTATATTTTAACAGAATTTGATATACTGATATCTTCATTAAAGATGTACCTGTATCCAAACTTTTGCCTTTGTTTTGTTTTCTACTATATTATCGGAAATCATAGAACAAGGAATTCTTTTATCTAAGAAGAATCTCTTAACCGTTTTTTACATCTGTAACAGCCTTGAGTGACTTTTTTAACAGAAATGTTATTAATCTCATAACATATACAGTATACACCTACTTTACTTTTCGCAAAGTAAAGACACAAATATATTTTCATTTATTTAGAGAAAATCTTTTCAGTTTGTGTAAAATGATTAAGGTTTGATATTCATGGGTATATTTATGTAGATGTATCTAATCTATGTTTTGTTAATACCATTGATATTTTTAATTGGTGAACATATGTTTATTTGGAAAAAGAGAATGTAACATCTCTTTTTCCCAACTGTAATATAATTGGATTTAAAGATATTGTCATCCATGTAAAAATGTACATACCCTATGTCCTAATCACGATATATATGTACCTAAGAGGGTTAATTATTTATCAAATTTATTCAAGTATCAAACACACACACCCCCACCCCCCCATATACTTTAAAAAATTAATAAAATCATCCATTGGATTGTAAACCCCCTCCCTCGTATGCAAACACACATTTTTTGCACTTCATGTGGTTTGTTCTTACTTGGACAAGTGATAAGTGCATTAGTGAATGTTATTTGGCCTTGACTTAATCGGCAATTTTTTATGAAAAGGTTACATTTTTATTACCTTATAAATTTAATAAAAGTAAATTTGAAGAAGTAAAGAATGAAAAAAAAAAAGTAAAAACTTATTAAATGTTAAATACAAAGGTACAATTGTTTGCCTTGTATTAATAATTTAAAAAGCAATCAATTATATTCATTAATTTTATTTTTAATAAGGGGAAAATACGTAATCAGTTTTGTCACATGAGATTATTAAATCAAAGAAACTTAGAGCTTTGGCTAAAATAGGTAATTGGTGTCATTTGATTGTTTAATTAGAACAATTAATTGTAATTTTATTTCCCAATATTAACAACGCACTAAAAAATGCACTAAAAAACAACAGATGTTTGGGTTTTCTCGATAAATGTGATTAAGATGTAATTCTTTGATCATAATTTTTTTATAAATAAGTTTTTTAATAACTTTCAAACTCTGATAAAATGCTTAAAATAATTACTTTATTGTTATTTTAAATGTATGTGTAATTTATAATAATAATACTTAAACATTTACTAAAATAAAAGCGGATACATTAAATTTTTTTGTATTTAAATTGGTTCGCTCTCCGTAAAATTATAGAAAATCACTTTCATTGTTTTTAAGAATCCGAACATATTTTTTGGGCGTTACGTCAGCCTAGCTCATACTTATATGTATATTTACAATAAAATAAAGCATGATATTCAATTTTATTACTTAAGATTGTTTAAAACATAGTTTTGAAATAAAAAATAAGTGGTCACTTTTTTTCAAACAGCTGATGATCTACTTTATCAGGTTATCATATTATTGTGTCATTGACCTTCTAAAGTTATCTGTTAAAGGTTTACTGGTTAACGGTTATAAATAGGCTGTTACTAAGCTTGTGTTAATCACTACTGAAATATTTTTTGTGGGGAAAAGCTATTTTATTGAACTAGCTTGATAAACTGAATTTCCTGTTTCATTTTAACATTGTAATGTAACAACTTTTCTTAATTATTGTAAACAGTTGTTTTTTATGTTTCGGATGGGGGGCTGGCAATTAAATCACCCATCTTTATAGCACCGGTAATTGTTTTAATGGTTTAGGATAGCCAATTGTTATAAAACAACATGAAAATAAATAAATAGGCACTGTAATAAAGTTATCTGATGTTCATATCATTATGTCATTTAAAATAAAGAGCATTCAGTTTTATATTTTAACATTCACATATCTGTAATTTAATATTACATTTCTTTATTCGAGGCAACCTATCTTACAGTCAGCTTTTGTGAGCCTCTAAATCTGTTGTTATTCTTACAGCCAGAAAACATTAAATATAACTAAAAAGAAAGTTAGGCATAGAAATATTGCATATTTTACAATCGTTGATCCTTGCTCACTTGGTGTGGGACATCACATGACACAGATAGATCGAGAGCTTAGTTCCGGTACATATTTAATATGAATAATTAAAATTTATCATGAGATGGAGCTTTGGTGGACATCTAGCTCAACTGTCTCAAAGCGATGAGGTAGCGGAATCTGATTGATCTAGGGTCGTTCCCAGTAATAGGATAATAGCCGAGTGGAATGGATTCATCTCCTCATCAGACCAGCCATTCTTGGGGAGGATGAGCAAACCCTGAGCAAAGAACCTCAGTTTGTAACTCTAAAGACAGTATACGCTAATTTATTCAAAATTTCCTTTTAAATTAGAGGCCCTTAACATTAGTCAGTAAAGACTTTTGGGTCCATGTATGTATATCATGGAGAACTTTTTTTTCTTATACTTGCAGCTGAAAGAAACTAAAGATGTGTTTACTGCCAAACAAGATGTGTTACTATTTGTGTTTTTTTGTACCCTTGTCTGTTTTGTTGGGCATTCCACACAGTGTTGCTGATATAATAGTGGTAAAGTTTACATTTTTTCAATCCTTCTTTAAAAATGATAGGGTAAATTTATAAATATTATTTATCTCAGATAAGAAACTAAAAAATGTTTACTTTGGACACACAAAAAAAAAAAGTTTACATTTTTTCAATCCTTCTTTAAAAATGATAGGGTAAATTTATAAATATTATTTATCTCAGATAAGAAACTAAAAAATGTTTACTTTGGACACACAAAAAAAAAAAAATCCACATCTTTAATGAATTCTATGTTTTTTTATTGTCAGTCTTTTGTAGAATCTCTGATTCATTGCTTGTCAATCTATGAATCTTTTTTTTTTATTTTTTAAAATTGTTTGCAGCTTGATCAAGACTCCAATGAAACCATAGCAAGTTTTAAGGATAGGACTGCCAGCTTTGGGCCAGATTTTCCAGATGATGGGCTTGAGGTACAGCAATTCATTTCTTTACAGTGTATTTACTGATCCCTCTAAATAAGCCATTGACTTTTTCTTTCTCATGCTCATGATCCCTCTGGGAAGAAGAGCTTACTATTTAATACTGCCAGCTGAGTTTGTTATTACCCCTACTATTAATTGAAGGAGCACGAGAGATGCCAATATAGAAATCAACAAATGGTAGATCATCGCTGAGCACTGTTCGAAGGAATGTCTTAAGCAGTCAAAAAAGGCAGAAGATGCGTAAAATAAAGTCCTTGTAAAAAAAGGGGGGTGGCATTACGGAACCAAATTTAACCAAGGTTCCCCTGCGAGATATGCAACTGAGACTGCCATTCCAGGATCAGCCTATTAAGCCATTTGATGAAGTGTCAATATCTACTCTGACGGAAGGGTACAATATATATATATATTGAATTATGACAGAAAATTCTTCCAAAACTCCTGTGTCCTGACAATTTCATGATGAATTTGCACACTGCGAAGGCAAAGTTTAAAAAAAAAAATGTTTTTTGAACATTAACTGAATGCAGGCTGTTATGAAATAGAAGGGACCCATCTTTAACATGATTTACATATTAAATTATGTGAACAGGTTTTGACATGTTGTTATTGTTTCATTCCTCTTTCAGGGAAAGATAGTCCCAGCAGAGCCGCCTGATGCCTGTTCCAGGCTGACATCTCCCCCAGGCAAAGACCTATACATCCTACTTGTGGCCAGAGGGGGGGGAAATTGTCATTTTGTTGATAAGGTAATGGAGAATATCTATCTCATAAATATTGTTTGGAATTTTAAATGTTGAAAACACAGGAGTTAGGATGTGCTCCACAAAAATGTATGCATTACTAAGTCCATGGTTCTGTCAGTAGGTATCGCTAACAAGACTGTGATTATTTGTTGTGGGAATATGAACCTGATGTATTTTAACTCTTCAGGTTCTAAATGCCCAGGAAGCCAACTACAGTGCTGTCATTGTGCACAACCACAATGGTGATGATGAGCTTGTTGACATGGGAGGAGACGGTGAGTCTTTTCCCTTCAATATTCAATTATGATATTTTTAAAATTTTGTTTTAAATTTAAAATTAATTTGCCCAAAAAAAATATCATGCCTAAAGCAATCTAATTTATGCATTGCTTTTAATTTTAAAGAGTCATAATTTGCTTTTAAAAAGGAATGAAAAATATTTAAATTTTAAAATAAATGGACAGTGCAATAATAGGTTTGTGTTTGTCAATTTTAATATGCGTGGACAGTGCAATAATAACTGTGTTTTTTATACATGGACAGTGCATAATAACTTTGTGTGTGTTTTATATACATAAGCAGTGCATAATAACTTTGTGTTGTTTTTTGTATACATCACGGACAGTGCAATAATAACTTTGTGTTGTTTTTTGTATACATCACGGACAGTGCAATAAGATCTTTGTGTTGTTTTTTGTATACATCACGGACAGTGCAATAATAACTTTGTGTTGTTTTTTGTATACATCACAGACAGTGCAATAATAACTTTGTGTTGTTTTTTGTATACATCACAGACAGTGCAATAATAACTTTGTGTTGTTTTTTGTATACATCACAGACAGTGCAATAATAACTTTGTGTTGTTTTTTGTATACATCACGGACAGTGCAATAATAACTTTGTGTTGTTTTTTGTATACATCACGGTCAGTGCAATAATAACTGTGTGTGTATGTTATAGGGAGAGGTCTGAGGATTCCAGCCACATTTGTTGGATTTAATGATGGTATGGCTCTAAACAAAAGCTACAATTATAATACGTAAGTATGAGTACCACTAGAGATGTCTTTGAATTTTTAAACACTAGTATAGTTTGCCAGATCCCATAGACTCAAAAAACCTGTAAGAACTAAAGGATATTGTTCTATTTGCCACATTGTGTTAATGCATGGGATAATAACATATTTGCAGGCCCCCCCGCCCCCCAACCCCTTCCCCGATAAAATATGGCCTGTACAAAAACTGGTCAGGAATCCCAGTGTTAATGTTTTTTATAAAAATCTCTTTGCTTCTAAACCAGTGGTTCCCAAAGTGGGTGGTTTAACTACAGGCTATGAACAGATAAAAAAAATTCATTTAATGTTTTATCATTCTCACTGCTCGTAAGTAAAGACAGATGAGACCTTAATGTAAGAAACAAGAGTTCAGCAGACCATGTCACTTCTTATTCATGAATGTGTACATGTAAAATTACACAGCTTTTTATCCAACACTACTTCAGTTGGTCATGATACTTGTCTGTAGCCCTTTCTAACCTTGGATATAGTAGCCGATGAGCAAAGTGGTAGGTGCCCTTGAGCTTTGTTATTATTATCAACGGGGCAACAAACTTGCCATTTTTTAATCCAGGTGGCAATGACCAGTAAAGGTCCGGGAGACACTGCTCTAAATAAATAGGAGTTAATTCCCCTTGGTTATTATATTAAAAAAAGAAATTTCATGTACCATGGAGTATTTCTCAAAAAAATTAAATGTTCCTAAGTTTAAAAAAATTGAATTTTCAGTTCAAACTCAAATCTTAGTGCAAAGTGTTAATTAGCAAGAATAAGTGAAGATATTGGGAAAAGACACAATTATAATTTTATTTTCTTCTTTTTTCAGTGAGTATGTCATTCGTATAATTGAGCCAAACTCGATACTTCCAGATTTTTTGGTATGGCCCTTTGTTCTGGTAGTGGGCATCTGTTTTATGGTGGGAGTCGCCTATATGGTAAGTCTCTTTTAGTTAGTGGGAAGCAGAGGTATAACTTCAACTGGTCATGTGAATCCTACTAACACATATTGTGCTAACACGTGCTGAAAAATAAAGGGTTGGGTAAAAATAAATATAACACATATGTGAATCACGAAGCGCCATCTAGTAACTGCAAACTGTGGTTAGTCTAGTGGGTTACGGGGGGTTAGCAAATTTGAGGTTTTTTTGGGGGTTTTTTGCGTACATATTATACAGATGGCCCCTCCTTACATTTCTTGACTGTGCTGTAGGACGTAATTTTGTGGCATAATTATTTCTTACGGCTGAACTGCATTGAATGCAGAAACAGAGAAAACTAGAGAATGCATTCTCAACTGTTCCATGCTGCAACATTTGATTTTGATAAATTTTACAGGGTCGGAGAGGGCCTTTGAAATCCATTTTCAGAACGCAGAAAACACCTGGACGATTTTTAATACCCCATCTGCCTTTCACCCATTTACAGCTTGTGGTGGTTATCAGATTGTAATATGTTAACAGGAAATAGGCATAATGGATATTGATCATTTAATTTTTTTTAAACGGCTTTTTGCTTTAAAAAATATATCTAAAGTTACATGGAAGTTGTTTTTTTTAATGACGTCCTTATTTGTTAATTAATTATTACTTCTTATGTTAATAAACTTTGTTTGAGCTGATGTGACTTCAAGTTTGAACGTAGCATGAGTAAAAAAAAAAACATGTACCCACATGACCTTTCTCCCCGTACAGTTAAAAAATCAGTTATAAACACTTTAAAATCAATAACTTTGTTCAATCAAAAGATATTGATTTCACTTTGCTAATTTAAATAAAGGAATCTGTATTAGTTCAGCCAGCGTAATCAACCGATAAGTTAATATCAATTGTCTATTTTGTCATCCTTGGGATTCAAATAGATCTCAAAATCTCATTTTTCTAGATGCATCAATACATAATAATTATATTTTGAGTTCTGAAATGGATTGGGCTTTATTTTAAGCCCAAAAGTTTGATTTCAAATGGCCAGTTCTTTAGCCATGCTTCATCTACATTTCTGATTTGTATTTATTTTCAAAGACCTGGGTATGTGTAAAAACCATATATTCTAATCAAGAAAAAGACTTTCTTTCTCATTCTTAAACATGTTAAATATTTTAACTTCCAATTTTCAGATTATTAAAATATGCAGAGATCATATTAAAAAGAAGGGTAGCCGTTTGTCATCCAGGAACTTGAAAAAGATTCCTGTTCGCAAGTTTAAAAAAGGTTTGGTTTTAAATTTTTATGCTCATGTTATTTAGTTAGGAAATTGTTGAACAAGGTACATTGAAGCTCGAAGTGAAAGAACGAGACGATAAAAAGAGAACGTTTCAGCCGAAAGCCGTCTTCAGCAGACTAGACATGACAAGAAACAACAAAGAAAGAGACATGCTCCGATGTTATTTTTTTTTTGCCCTGGATCCACAACAGCTTTTATTTTGTTTTGTTGTGTTTTTTCTTTTCCCTTCCAGCTTCAAAATTCTTTGTTCAACGATTTCCTTCACTCAGCTTGAAGGCATTCATATTATCTCATTTAGTTACCCAAAGTTGCTGGATCTCTTGCAAAATGGCATATTTTTAATTGAAGATATCGTACAAATAGATGGCATTTATTTTTAAAGTATAATCATGTTCTATAAAGTAACTTTCAAAGTGTGACTCATTCTGATGATTAAACATACAGCTAGGTCTAATTAAAATGGGTGATTTTTGTCTACAGGTGATTACTATGACACGTGTGCCATCTGTCTTGATGAATATGAAGAAGGGGAGAAAATCAGAGTGCTTCCTTGTGATCATGGTAATTTGGAAAATAACTGTTTTTTTTAACCCCATTTGAAGAAATATACATTAATGATGAGGATTACTTAATTTCATTCAAGCATTTAATTTGACATTCAGCCTATATGTGGTATGTTTGTACCGTATTAAAAAAAAAAAAAAAAAGTAAAAGCAATGCATTTTTTTTAACACCATTTTAAGAAATATACATTAATGATGAGGATTAATTAATTTTATTAAAGAATTTAATTTGACATTTAGCCTATATGTGGTATGTTTGTACCGTATTAAAAAAAAAAAAAAAAAGTAAAAGCAATGCTTATTGTAAATAATTTTGTATAAATTAGTCTCAGGTTTTATGACCAGTAAAAGTACTTTACTATGAAACAGAAGGAGAAAATAACTTGAAATTTTTCTCATTTGACTGGGAAAAAAAACTATTTTCACACTACTCATGTAACCCTTCTGTCTCTCTGATTATGCCACATAGTATACCATACTAAGTGCATTGATCCCTGGCTGACCAAGAACAAGAAGACCTGCCCAGTTTGTAAGCGCCGTGTCATCCCAGGAAAAGATGCAGACTCTGAGAGCTCAGATTCAGATGGTGGTGGCACTCCTGCCAGAGCTGAGAATACCCCGCTTCTCCAAGGTAACACAGCCAGGCAGTATGCTTATCGCGGCACCACACGATTTCCTCGGCGTGCCGGCACTTCTAACCATGCAGCTGATGATGATGAAGAGACACGCAATGTCTCAGAAGATGCTGGTTAGTATTCAAAAGAATTTAAATGTCCTCACATATAGAGACTTGCTTCATTTTTTTTTTGTATAAAGTTATAAAAAATAATAAATATGATTATCTTATTCAAATTAATGTTCAATGCTTATTTTACAGTAAAATATTTGTTGTAAGAATTTCCCCACCATAAGTGTATTGATTTTAATTATTGAATTTAATGTATTTTATTATCACAGGAAATGTTGGTACCAGTTCAACTATTCCAACTGACCACAGTGCAATCACAATTTCTGATTCAGAACCAGACACTGGAGCTGTGGGTGGCATTGGCATTTCAGATCAACAATTCAACAATCAAGATCAACAGCGTAAATCATCTTCAAGTAGACGTAGCAAGCATGAATCTGCAAATAAAGAGAAAAGAGAGAACAGGGCGGAGCGCAAAAGAAAAAGACCTGATAAAGAAAGACTGATCAGGCTGGCAGATGAGAGGAATGAAACTGATACAGTTACTGGGGATGAAGAATTGGCAGCAGGAATCTCCATACAAGTTGATGAGACGCGAGAGGAACGGAGAGAGCGAAGAAGGAAAAAGAAGGAACAAAAGAAAGCCAGTAAAAAGTCAAGTCAAACTAAGGAAACCCCCTCTCATACCGCAGAGGAAGAAATAGAAGCCGGGTCCAGATCTCAACCTAATGAGATGGCAGAGCCACAGTCAAGTGTGGGAGAAGAGCAGGGTGCTCCTCCCATGAGCATTTCTGATGGTCAGGATGTGAGGTTACCCACCAGGGCAAGGAGGTTTGAACTCAATGAAGTGGTCTGATCACGAGTAGTTCATAGTTCAAGCTAGTGAGCCTGCTTAACTTAGGTGCATTTATCTAAGTGACCTTTGTTTTTTATTAGACCATAAATCTGAGTAGCTTTTCTCAGCATCTGTATCCCCTGGGCCATTCTTGAATGATTAAGTAAAATTTGGTTCAAGGGTGAATGCAGGATCAGATGAGTAAGGAATTACCAAGTCCCCCCTAGTAGCTGTTTCAAGGAAGTATAAATAGAGATGAACTATTTGAAACATGAACTTAAGCTTGTATCATTGAGCTCCCATGTAATTTTTTCCCCTGGCCTGGATCAACAAAAGCATGTATGTTAGTATATTTAGTTCATAGTATGTTTATTTTATTATTCACATTTTTGTGCGGAATTGTTGTGACCTTCTTCTTAAATCCAAGGATTAATCTGAGTAGTTCAGATTCAGAGAGAATATTGTCTGATATGCCCTCTCCTGTGCTAGTGGTGTGGAATTGTCCACTGTTACACCTTTTTCACATTTTTTGATGACCTCTCTAAAAAATACATTTTTTTTGTTCAAAACACATTCTGCTTATGTGTCACCATCTATTTTCACACTTAGTGACCTCTTTTTTTTGTTTTTTGTTAGTTAAATGATCTGCCAGTACAATTAAAGCCATTTTCATAAATATGATGACTGTGATTTGTAAACAATTGTATAATTTTAGGGATAAACTGCTTTTATTTTTATTTAATTTATTGATTGGATTTTCTTCTAAAATGCAAAGAAAAGCAAACCTATCAAATTCCTTGGATTAAAGCTAAAGTTTGTTTTTTCCCTTGCCATATTTCACAACATTATCAAATTTAACTCATGTCTCGATGGTTAATTATTTTCAACTTCCTTGCTAAAAAATAGTGCTTGTTCAGGCCTTGTTTAGGGAGTTAGCAAATTTAAGAGGATCTGTACGAAAATTTCTATTGTGGCATTATATTTTAGTAGCCTGTTCTGGGCCTAGCATTGTTATAAATCAAAGAAAGGTTCAGTCAAAGAAATTATAAAAACTGTTTCATGCTTACAACCTTTTCATTAATAAATGATTTTTATCCTAGTTGTTTAATGAGGTATAAAAATTAATGTCCGTTTCTAATTTTATGAAAGCCTGTGAATTTTTTTTTTTTGTAAAAAAATTAATGTCAGTATTGACACTGCAGTTTCTTAATTTACTGCCATCGATTATTTGGTTCAAAAGATAATATGAAAGCCCATGAACATTTTTTTTTTGTGGATAAAATAATGATAAAGGCTAGTTTTTCTAATCATTGGTAGAATTATTGAATTGTACGACTTTCTTTGTTTTGGGGTGGGATGGTATGTATGAACTAAATTTCCCCCTTAAATTCTTGAAAAATTAAGCAACTAGTTACATCTCCCCGGTCTGGAATGAAACCATTCTGAGAGAAGAATGTGAGACAACATATTGTATATAGTTTGTAAATGTCTTCTATGAATAATAATTGATGTTCTGTAACATAGAGGGAAATTGAGAGATTACTTTATCCTGTTCTTTCAGGGCTACTTGTACATTGAATGTATCATAGCTATAAATAACTTCACAGTAAACAGAAACATTTTTAAACTCTAATTTTAATCTAACCTCTTTGTTCATTCATAAAATCATGAAATTTTAAGTTTCAACTATTTGTTGGAATTTTTTTAACGTATATTTGTACATAATTGAAAAGTACAAAATAAATTCTGGCATCCATGTGTTTTTTTTTTTAAATCTTAATATAATAAATGTATCTTCATTGAATTACACTGAATTTATTTGAACTTTATTTTAAAACGGTTACAGTTTAGAAATTTAGCATATATTAAATAAAATGGGTAGTTTATTAATATAAGAATAATTATATTGATTCTGCCTACATGTTTTTAGTTTTATTGGTTGCTAAGGTTGCTGGACAAATGCTGAAATTCTGACTTGTCATGACAACACCAAATTTAAGTTATGCTACATTACACATCATGGATTTTATGAACTAGTCTATTGCATTAGTTAATGGTTAACTATCTCATGTCTCTCATTTAACTATCAGTATTTTTAAACAAAATATATGTATTTCCATTAATTATCTCAATATTTCAAACTGACAAAGGAGTCCCCAACAAATTATATATGCATATGCAGATACTTTCAGATAATAGATACATTTTTTAAAAAGCATTTTTTTTAAATTAATCTTTTTCATGAGTTAATAATTTTTTTTTAATGTGTAAAAAGAAAAATGAATAGTTTTCATCAGCTATGATATGAATCTGTAAATATTTATACTGCATGCCATGTAGTCTTTGTGTAAAAAAAAAGAAACCCAGACACTTTCCTTCATTTGAATCTGCCTTTAGTGAATATTTAAGGTTTTACTTTTGCTGTGTGTTTGAGTGCTAAAGCAAGGGATTTTACTTTGACATTATATAATCCACTGTTGCTTTTTTTCCATTTATCTTCCAATATTCCTTGCTAATAAAGCACTGAAATTGTGATCTTTTTATTAGCCGGGCACTGAATGATGGGGAAAGAATGTTCATGTGAGTTCTTGTAGTGTGTGTGGCAGTAATACATAGTGTGTGTGTGTGTGTGTGTGACTATGAAAGAAGACGTTGAACTTTTTAACTGGATTTGTGCAGTTCACTGTTGAGATGATAGTTTATTCGAAAGAGATGAGTACGTATACGATGAGAATGTTAATTTTCAGAAATCTGCTTGAAATGACACTGAAATAAATTTATTTGTTTACTATTCAGGTGAAGAATTACAAAAATATTCATTTTTTGAAATCAATAAATTGTTGTCCTGAATCAAATAGTTTTGTTTCAGACTGAAGAAATGACTAGTCTGTTATTTAAAAGCATCTTAAAATACTGGTACATTGATTTCTACTGTTGTTGTGTCTCTGTGAAATCATTCAATACAAATGTTCTGTGAAAATGTAGTGATTTCATAAACTTGACAGCATTGTTTTTTGCCAATTTGAGTTGAGTTAATGCTCAATTTTTTTTAAAAAAAAGTCTCATGGAATTTTATATACACTTTCGCTTATGAGTTTTTAACACAAATACTTCTTGTTTATTTAAATACTTCTTGTTTATTTATGTTTAATTAATAATACTTAAGATAAATTTTGGCTTCTCAAATCCCCTTTAAGATTATTCTCTTAAGAAATAATGGAAATCATATATATTATGTTTTTGATAGATGGAGGGAGCCACATCAAAAGTATCATTTGTTAATCTTAAGTAAACTCCTTTCCATGTGTCACTTAATCGAGAAGCACATGTTGTGTCCCATTTTGTTTTCTAAGAAAAAAAATCTCTATGCTTTGATCATGCTGAAAATGTAACAGTAACAATCTGATGTTTTGAAAAAAAAATTATTAAAACTTTACATCCGCAATATTTGAATTGATTAATATTTATTTATTTAAATGTAGAAGATATAATCATGATTATAACTGCAAATATATCTAAAAAAAATCATTACTAGATAATGATTGGAGATGACAATGGCTTTTTTTTTTGGATCCTATTACAGCATCTGCTTTGTTCCAAGCTGTTAGAAAAAATAGTTTGTTGAGTTTCATAAATGTTTTAGTTAACTAAAATGGATTGACTTCATCACATGGACTCAATAAATAAGTTCAACTGAAGAATTTAATTACATTCAGGGAAAATGTGAACAGAATCTGTGACATGGGGCATTAAGCTCATTAAAATTATGCCTTTGAAAATGTAAGAAAGTATATCATTTTATAAAAAATAGAAAGTGGAATCAAATTCTTAAATAACCAAAGGGACAACCGGAAAACCAGAGAGTTACTGATCAAGAATGGAAATTCTTTGTTAAGAAAGCAACCATCCAAGACCCAGGTACGGTGCAGCAAAGTTACAAACAGGATAATGGTTCCGGTACAAGGTATGACCCAGGCTCCAAATAAAAAAGAGACTAACAAGTAAACATCAATAATTTATTTTTGAAGTAATGAGTGAAACAAAGTATGGGAAAACCTGGGGAAAGAAGGAACACAACAAAGCAATGAACGTGTCAGCAGGAAGCCTTCATCTCTCCCCTTATTACTATTACCAATCATCTTTCTTTTTTTTTTTGCAGCATTGGAAAAATTTAAATTTAAGGTTTTACATACAAACAATTTTTTTAAAAACTGCAGCCAAAAATTTTTGAGTATGACTCAGAGTATGCACTTTTCTCTATTAGCTTAGTGTTGTTGAGATACAGACTGCTTGAACCTCAGTAATGTAGCCTGCTTCCTTAGCCGATTTTCAAAATGTTCAGCTTTAATCATCTGGATGGCTCCCAATTCAAATGTATGATACTTCCATTTAAGAGTACAATAAGAACTCTCCAAGCATACATAATTTTAAGTGTTCTAGAAATGTTGAATACTTATACAAAAATGTTTTGTATTAAATGGTTTACAGGACTGTATATGCCAAGTGCTTTGAAATTTGATAATGAATCTAATGTTTAAAAAAAATAATAATAGTTTACCTGGATTGCTTGACATTAGAATGAAATAAAGGATTTTTTTTTTTTTTTTTATTTTTTTCTTTTTTTCCTAAAATTTTCATTTACTTATAAAATCAACAACACTGTCGATGTTGCTAAAAAATATCACTGGGTTAAACAAGACTATAATATACTATTTTTTAGTTGAAATAGATAGGCCAGTAGAGCGAGGCTATTGGATTCTCATAGAATTTTAAAGTAAAATAGGCCTTAAAAGTGAATTCTCCTGATCACAGCTAATTTAATACATTCTACAGTGAACAATAAAATTGAAGCCTTGAAAAATGAGAGAACATATTATATCTAGACACGTCTCAAATACCAGGTCTGCACTCCCTATGGAATGTGATAAATAAATCATTTTCTACCCCTTGCAAACAGGAAAAACCGGTTACCGCAAATTTGATCGAAATAAATTTTTTAGACGGTAAATTGATAGACGGAAATTTAGTCGAACGGAAATTTGGTCGAATCTTTTTTTTTCAGTTCACACGTTAAAATTTTCGTCAAATTTCTCTTTGAACGCACTATACTATCTTACTATCTTGTAAGACAAAATAATGCGTTCAAAAAGAAATTTGAAGCAAAATTTTAACGCAAAAACTGAAAAAACAGATTAGGCCATAATTCCGTTCGATCCAATCACCGTCGATCAATTTACCATAGACGAAATTTCTTTCCATGAAATTTCCAGATACTGGAAAAAACGATTGTTGGGATTAGGGAGTGGGGCTGAAAATTTGATGGAATGCTTTTTCATCTGGAACATGTGCCAAGTTTCAGGTTGATATAATATGTTGACGGGAGGTGGGTCAATTAGCTCGCCGAAGATTTTGCCACCAACCCAGAAGAAGAACAAAACATGCGAACAAAAGCAAAGTTAGTATAAAGGATTTAAAAAGAAACTTAAGTTTTAGTTTTTTAAATTATAATTTCACTTTTCGCTTCCTTTTAACGGAGTGGCTATAGGTACCCGGTTACCTATAGCTGCAATTGGCTATTCGGACCCGGCTGATCACGCGAGGGCTTTATAAGCTTCGGTTGGTCACGTGATGGTTATCACGGCTACTTCCTGTTGGTTTGCCATCTTAGAGCCATGACAGCCATGATTATCAATCGAGAAATGTGCCATATTTTGAAGACTATCATCTGGCGTTGAAGGAACACGAAGAAGCTAAAAGCAAGTAAGAATACGTTTATGTTTATAATTTTATTGTATTTTTTAATTCTATTTTAAATATAGTTCTATAATCATTAACATGACATCAATCAAGGTTCAAGATCAAAGTTGCAATTTTTTTTGGCGGCAAATCGGCTACTGTCACTGTCTTATCTGTAATTGATATGAAAAGTTTGGCTGCGGCTATTCGGACCCGGTATCAGAAGTGGATACTTCAATTTTAATTCACCGCAAAAATTATTATTATTCACGCTTCCCATAATACAAATGTTCTTTTGAATAAATAACAATTCGGAGAGATCAGCCCGCGGCCGCCATCTTGGTTATCGAACTTATGTCCTAAATGTATCCCTAAACTAACCTGAACCCTAAATGTATCCCTAAACCTAACATGAACCCTTAAATGTATCCCTAAACCTGATCAATCTGAATTAGACTAGCCTAGGCCTAAAAGTAAAAGAAATTTAATTAAAAAATGGCCGGCACTACGTACACCGCGGCGGTGTACCTAGCGAAACTATTGACTTTGGCCTGCGTACACCGCGGCGGTGTACCTAGCTAAATCATGGTCTGTGGCCTGCGTACACCGCAGCGAT